TTTTTTTTTATCGCGAATCAATGAATTAACTTAAGACGACTTGCGACGAGTAACTTTTTTCTTATTAACGGTTGCATAACCATACTTAAGCAACTATTATAATCCTTCGATTACTCTGACCGAATATCACCTAGCAATTGCACATAGTCAAGAATCCCCCCACAAAAGAGTTAATTTGCAACGTATAATAATTAGAACAAGAAATATTTTACTTGGAACTTGAAAATAAATCATGCGACCCTTGTTTGTTTTTTGACTACGACTGAAATCTGGATCTCTTCCAAGAAGAGCTATACAGGCCGCTCCAGCTGGAAAGCTACACTTATCAAAGGTGTGCGAATAAACCCTGCTTAGTATTTTGTGTTGTAATCTTACTCTCGAAAGTTGAGACTGTTTATACACATGTCCAAGCACTCTACTACTTACAATATACTGAAACGGTCATAAAGATTATGATGCCCGATAGTTGCGAAAACGAGTCAAAAATGCGTCTTTAGATAAATCTGATCGTTTTATCCTGCATTTGTACAGATCCTCTTATCACAATGAAAAAGATTGTTGTCGGTTGTAGTTAGTACCAATAGCAAATCCCGAAAGAATCGACAAGTAATCATACTTTGGAACGCTTTCCACGGCCGACAGTTTTTTAGAGATGAAAGTTCTCAATCTTAGTACATCAGGTCATCTATTCTTCTATAACCAGAATCTAATTGTCATATACATCGTTTTTCACGGTATTCTACTGTAAAAAATATTCAAGCTACCATTTTTAACTCCCGATAGCCATCACATTCATCAAACTAATTCCAGTGTCTAATCGGCACCCAAGTTGGCCAATCTATCAGCTTCTTCATTTGCCAAATTACCAGCGTGACCTTCTACATGTTCCGCTACTATATTAGACCATCCTTTAGAAGAGTATTGACTGTTTATCCGATCCTTCAAGTTGACTAATTCTTGAATCAAAGTGGCATTAGCTATAGTTTCACCCTTCACATTCGTCCAACCATTTCTTCTCCATTTATCACTCCACTCATTAAAGCTTCGAACGGAATATTGAGAATCCGAAAGAATTCGAGTTGGTCGTCTAGCAGTCTCGTGCATTAATTCTTGATAAACGTTTCTTAATGCATGAATCAAACCCATCAACTCAGCACGTTGATTGGTTGGTTTAATAGCCGCATCCAATGGTATCGCGGCGTTACGATCATCACCTGGTCCATAATAGACACCATATCCTGCCTCAGGACGACTGCTCCTCCCATTGCCTCGACAGGCCCCGTCAACAAATACATTCTCCACTTTGCCTCCCTTAGCCAAAAATTTGAGGGCCTCTTCACTTGAATCGAATTTTCTAAAAAGAGCGTTGTGGAAGCCTGTGATTTCTTTCTGACAAGCTGACCAACTGGCATAAACTCCAGGGTTATGACCTTGCAAAACTGTATAATATGGCATAATTGGATTTGGATAGAGTTTTTTGAACTAAGCGAGGGGTAGAGTGCAGAAGGTTTTATTTTCATTTGAAAATGTTTTGTCATTCTTTCGTCGCGACGAGATTCATATCGAAAAAAATTCCTCTTTTACTTTAATGGGGTTTCAAGATTCAGTGTTATCAAATAATATATAATATAGCTATTCATTTACCTTGAAAGAAACTCCATAAGGGCCAGTTTTACCTACCCAACCCATATGTAAAAATTTTCTGTTGTAATATTTATTTTAGGAGGCAGGGTTCGACTAGATGCCCAGAATGTATCCTGCCATCGAAATCCTTGAATTTGATTTCCAAATATTACTCACGAGAATATCTCGTCCGAAAAAGCCTAAGTTTCATTCGCAGAAATGATAACAGTCCATTCTTGCCCTTCTGTCAAGTTCAATGCCCTAGTTAATACTATCAGATTTGCTAAAGAGAACAATCAGGGTACAATTAACGACCAAAAATGATATTGATAGTATCTTAGAAAACCGGGTAGGTCAGCCTGTAAGTTATTGATATCAGTATATTGAGTCGTGTATTCTTCTATAAACTACACATGAATCTATTTTTGGTAAAGGTATAATGTAAATAGTTAGCAATCCAGAATATGATCATTCTGTTAACACAACTACCATCCTTTTTATCAGCCAAAGTCCTCCCCATCGGCACCTCTATTGGCCAATCTATCAGCCTGGTAGTTTGCCAAGTTACCACAATGGCCTCGAACATAACATATCTCGATGTCATACCATCCTCTGGCTTCATACTCCTGGTTTATAAGATCTTTGTACACGAGAATGTTCCAGAATAAATCGAAATTAGTTACGGTAAAACCCAGCTTATTCTTCCAGCCATTATTTCTCCATATTTCGCTCCATTCATTGAAACTTTTCACCACGTATTGGGAATCAGAAAAAATTCGGACAGGGCGTTCAGCAGAATTATTCCGCAAATCTAGCTCTATATTAGCTAATGCGTGGGTTAGTGCCAATAACTCAGCACGCTGATTAGTTGGTCGCATATCCGGATCAACTGTCCATAATGGAACTGCCGCATTTCGGTGACTGTAGGGGCCATAGTATACACCATAACCAGCTTCTGGCGTTTCGTACATTCCGTTTCCTCGGCATGCTCCATCAATAAACACATATTCTACCGGCCCTCCTTGATTAAGAAAGTCGAGGGCTTCCTCAGCTGAATAGAACTCTTCGTAGTAAGCACCATTGTATCTGTTTATTTCTACCGCACAAGCAGGCCAGTTGTCATACACCCCGGGATTAAAGCCTTCCACAACTGCGTAATATACCATGAGTGGGTTGTAGCTATCAATACCAGATCGGGAATAGGAAAATCACAAGATCAACTTTCGTCTGCGCCAAAAACAAGCTTACGTCGACGATCGCGGGTCGAATATTTTTTTTGCAGGAAGTTTTTTTTTACTCATATCAATTAGGAAACCTATACAAGGTGTTGACTTGCATGGTTGCAGAAACATCCTTAAACTATTGCTAGGATACTTTCTATTGATCGCGTTGCATTAACATATAATCATGCTTGGCTAAAAGCAAATCTGCGCACTTTATTTGGAGCCAGTTGCTTTTTCCGTCTTATGGTATCTTCTTACTGAGAATTAGAGTAGTGGTTAAACGCAGTAAAGCCAACACTCGAGAGACAGAGTAATAGAGTATGAGCATGATGCAGAATGCAAATATTCTGGTCACTAGATGATACCCAACGTGAAACTATGTCTGATTAGAATAAGAGCTTGGAGGGCATACGAAATCCTTCAGAAATACTTGAGCTCAATCCAAGGAAATAATGTAAGTCCATATTAGCTTCCATTCCAAGAGAGTGGCCAATACCAAGAGGCTTTCCAAGATACCAATCAAGATATAATTAGAAACGGAACGCGATATTAATACTATCTTATATACTCGGATAAAGACCAGCTCTAACATCCGAGCATATTCGGTGATATATATTCTTCTACAGACACGATTTAACAAAGGCCTTCTCAATAATAAATGAATAACTCAGACTAAGGACTTCAAACCCATCGGGGGATGTGCTGTCCATCAGCAGCCAAATTGGCCAATCTGTCAGCTTCCTCGTTTGACAAATTACCACACTCACCTTGGATCCGGCATACATCAATTGCATACCATCCGTTCATTTTATAATTTTGGTTGATCCTATCCTTAATCTCAACAATTTCTTCGATCAAGTCAACATTAACCATTGGTTCACCATACCCATTCTTCCAGCCATTCTCTTTCCATACATCGTTAAAATCAGTAAAAGTGTCCACGGCATATTCAGAATTAGTAAAAATTTGAACTGGACGCTCATCCCATCCATTCCATATATCTATTTCTACACTGGTTAATGCAGAAATTAGTGCCCATAACTCGGCGCGCTGTTTAGTTGGTTTACAATCGGGATCTAATTCCTTTAATGGAATCGCAGCATTTCTTTCATCCTGAGGACCATAATATATACCAACTCCGGCATCTGGCCAATCCGTGGTCCCATTTCCTCGGCATTCACTATTGATAAACACATTTTCTAATGTACCTCCCTTATTGATAAATTCGAGGGCCGCGTCTTTTGAATTGAATTTTTCATAACGAGGATGAGGATATTTATCAACTTGTGCGGAACAAGCGGGCCAGTTGTCATAAACGCCCGGATTCAAACCTTCCAAAACTGCATAATATATCATGATTGTTGTTTATCTGTCACTTAAAAAGAGCAATGGGTAATCCCATATCGGTAGCAAAAAAAAAAAACAAATTTCCAACGACGAACTAAGCGAGCTACTAGTTTTTCTTTTCGCTTGGCAAGGATCTCTTGTCGAACGGTACTTAGATCCATTTTTAAACTATTTCTCAGATTTCTGGTTATCAGCTGGTACTTCTTGCGGGGAGTTACATCTTTATTTCTTGTCTCCTCTTTCCGAAAAACGCCACCAAACACGTCACAGATTGGATCCTCGAGCTTATCTTCGGGTTCGTTCTTACTGGTAGTGCTTCTGCCCTGGGCTCCATATTATCATTCTTCTTTCCTTGGATTTTGGAATACTTTCTGTTAACCTGAATACCACCCTTTAGAAAATGAATAACTAAACAATATCTGCGACAAAATAAACTCGATTCATTGTTCTTCTTTAGCTTGTATCTGGTGGGTTGTGCACATTCGTAGATAATATTGAGAGATAGAAAAGTGAAATGTGATCATCATGGGGGAGATACCAAACGCCCGGCTGCTAGTAATTAGAGGATGATAATTTCATGTGTGGGATCCCACACTGTGAATAAATCTTACAGTAGCTACAAGTAAAATATTAAGTTAAAGCCCAAAAAACGTTCCTTATATATTAAATAACAAATTTTCTTAAATAAAAAAAAACATAAAGACAAAAAACTAAGTATAAAGATGTATAATGTCCAAACATTCATATATATGTCTTCTCTTTCATAAAACCAAATAAAAACAATAATAGCAACAATAAAAAATAACAAATCATAAAATAAATAAATAAAAAAAAACCATCAATTGTGTATGTGTACTGTGTATGTGTATAGTGTGTGTCATATAGTATCTAAGACTATTCATAATAAAACCAATAATTAATAATGTGAATAAAAAAGGAAAATCGTAATTGTAAATCAGGAATTACAAATTTTCCATAATAAATAAGTTAAGCGTGTGAGTAGTAAGTAGTAAGTGTTTTTGTATGTGAAATATTTTGCAGCAAAGTAAAAAAACAATTCATGAAATGACATCATCGGAATTCTGACCTGAAATTCCATATTATGTTAATTACCAGCCAAAAAAATACTTCACATCCCTTAGAGGGGGGGGGAGTGTGGAAAAAAACAACAACGTGCAAACTTTACCAAACTAGCTCCTCATCGCCGTTAATGCCAGTGTTGTTAGATCCATTAGTAGTAGTAGGTTCATTGTTATTATCAATGTAATATCGAATATCATTATTCAATAATTTTTCTTCCAAAAAATCAGTAATCATATTATATTGATCATTTCTTGATTTTTTAACATTCATTAATTCATCAAATTTAAAATTATAATCATCACCACCTTCTTGTTCTTGTTCTTCATATCTAGGTAAATCAAAAAAGTTATTCACCTTTTTGAATGAAAACATCGGCTTCTCAAATATAGTATGAGCTGATGCTGATTCAACAGTTGTAGAACGGGTAAGGGTTGACATTAATGAATTGCTTTCAGAGAAACAATCATCTGAATATGGTGATGTTGTACGTGATAATTCTGCGGATGATGTAGCAGACAACAGTGGTGATCTTAAATCTTCATCCATCATAATGTCATCTTCATCTAAATCAGAATCAATTGAGTATTTATTAAATTTAGTTTTCTTAATGATATCTTCATCTTCATCAATATCCATATTAATAAATTTTTCAAATTCATTAGTAGAAGATATGTTGGAACTTGTTTCATCAAATGTTTGTACTTCATTATATGATCTCTTATGAACATTTGAATCAAGAGGTAAAGAAATTTTTGGATTTAATACTAAATTTTTCAAATGACTATAATCATGAATTAATGATAATAATGTTGATTTTAATGAAAGGTTTTCAGATTCAATGATTTTGATATTCTTAACTACTGATGTCAAATCATTAATATCCTCACACAAGTCACTCAATTGAGTGAGTGACGTCGGTATTGATGACTTTGCGGTTGTTTTCCTTTGATATTTCTTTCTTGGTTTTATGGGTTGTTGGGTTTGTTGTTGCAGTTGTGGGGTTTGTTGTTGGTTGTTGTTGTTGTTATTAGGTTGTCCTACCGGTTTTCTACCTGGTTTGGGCCTAGGTGGTAATATCCATTCCTTTGATGTTTTCACAATTATAGGGGTGGTGGTGGTTGGGATATTTTCAGATGGTGTTGTTGATATTGTTGTAGTAGTAGTAGTGGTAGTACTTACTAAAGACATAATATTAGTATGAATTGAACTTAATAAAGTTGTGTCTGCCTGTTCTTGTTTTCTTCCAAATAGGTATAACATTTTTATATAAAACAATTTAAGTGTGCACTGGTTATTATATATAAATTGGTTGTTGAAGTTGCAATTTCTTTGAAATATTTTAAGGGGGTAAAATGAAAAAATGGGTTTTGGAAAAATTCCAGAATCGAAAAGACTTCTAAAAAAAAGTCCATAGAATCCTCAGTAAAAAATAACAGACAAAACAGACAGAAAAAAAATAGAAACTTTAATACATACACAGCATAATTGTAACAGATTTGTATGGAGGGGGTTGCAAGTCTAGTAGTAGTAGTAGTAGTAACAAGTAAGTAGTAGTAATATGAACTTTTGTAATTTGTAATTGGGTTTTAATATAATGACATAATATTATAAAGTAGTAGTAGTTTTCTAAGATGATCTAGGTTTTTTTTCCAATTGGGCTTTTTTAAGTATAAATATAAAATTTCAAGAAACCCAGAGAAAATATATTTATTATATAAAAGAAAGGAGAGTTTAAAAATTTTTAATGTCTGAAGGATGACTTTTAGGTCGGGAAATTGGAATTAGTATTGTGTAGTTAAAATAGCTAGTACTACTACTATTTTAGTGTCGGAATGAAACGGGTGAGAACCAGTTCCAGACAGACATTTTTTTATTTTTTAACTAAAATGATAAATAGAAAGGATTGATTATTATGCCGGGATTTTTGGAAGGATATTTTTTAAATGTTTTTTTTTTCTTTGAACAATCAAATTTTAATTTAGTTTTTTAAAATGACTCGTAATTAATGAATCATCTCTGGGGGAACAAACTTCTCCAGTAGGTCAATACACACACACGTATCTCATCCATCAGTTCCTCGGGATACACTTGCCCAATGTTTCAGTCTATTGACTATAATCAAGTTCAATTGGATTTGTTTTTGATAATGTAGTAAATAAAGAAAATGTTAAATGACCAAAAATACAAAATTTTCCAATCAATTTAACTTTAGTAATGTGAAAATTACTAATCGGTGTTTGGTTAAAGTTTATTTTATAGTGACAAAGAAAAAAACACGAACAGAGATAGTCAATCTCCCGTATGGGCATTAAAATTTGTTCGACTTGTAGAAGACGTGGAGCATGAAGGTATCATGTTGAAACTTAAATTATCCCCTATGTATTCTTATGTCATGACAGTTTTGTGGTGTCTCAATTAATTATGCTTTTATTGGGATACACATTCATAGTTGTAAGAACCAAGAATTTTTACTGATTTTCGATTTAGATGGAACCAATGGAAGGTTAAAAAAAGCTATGTCAATCCTCGTAATCTACTCAATTGCTAGATATATTGACAGTTGGTACTTTCTGCAACAAATAATTGAAGCATTGAATAGTTACGGATAGATATTGCATGCCGGCTTTTGAAACCTCAACTATGTACCTGTAATTCCTTGCTGTAATTGGCTGTAAAATTTTTGATGTTTTTTCTTTTTCGAGATGAAGCGCTTTTTTTTTTCAGACAAAAAAAAAAAAAAGACATTTTCAAAAAAAAATTTCAGGTTTGTGTATCAAAGAATCAATGTTTTAATGAAGAATAAATTGATATTAACCGCGTTAAATTAGGAGTGTAAATGCTGCCAATGTCATTGGAATACATGGGGATGTGTAAATAAGCTATCTGATACATTCTATCTCGTCAATAACTGTAAATCAAAAACCATCCACATAGTTTAGAGTTGATGTAACCGTTCGCACTTATCGGGTTCCGGGCAATATAAAAAACAAGGAATGATCACGGATTAAATTGGTTCCTTTTGGGAAAATGTTATTGCTGGATTATATTCCCCTTGGTGCTCTTCCAATATTAAAACCCTCAATTATACATGAATGAGTCCCCTTCTTCTTTGTGCGCCTTGGCGGCCGATTCAACCGTTAATTACCAAGAAAACAACGGTTTGATTCAAAACAAAGGAAAATCAAAGTATAAACAGCAGATTTTGCATGGAAGAATTATCAAATTTTATTTGTTTCCACGTCACCGAAGTAAAAATTATTTTTGAACACATATTATTCCGTAATTTTTTTATTATTATTTTACTGTGTAAAACTTTTCGTTTCACAAAATTCAAAATCAGACAGAAAATTATTTATTCACGACACAAAAATTAAAAATACCTCCGTGATTGTTTTCATTCAGGAATGTAAGAACAGGAAGGTTTAAACACGGCTAAACTACAGATTATGTACACACGAAGCGGATAGTTGTAAACAGTCTCTCGGTATTTATTAACCGTGGAAGCCTGAATCTTCCGGCAATTTAGGAACACAAGACATTTTAGTTGCAAAAGACCTATTTTTTTTTATTTTGATCTAAATTCGATTGATAAGAAATTAGACCAACTCCGGGGAAATGAAATTATGAATTATTGTGATGAACACACTCTAATGCATATCAAACCCCTATTAAAATAGAAAAGCTTTAATGGTATAAACTTTGTTTTCAAATTGTTACAAAAAAAAACATCAGACCATTCTCAAGGGGGCTGAATAAATCAAAACGCAAGGGGTTGTTACCAATATGTTCCTGTAAACCTTAGCAGGTAGATGCCTCATTTCAGTTAGTAGCACTCTGTGTACCCGCCTCTGGGCCCTTATAACAAGGTTATGGTTGCTAGTAGTATAGACTCTATGCATTGAATGGCGTATACAAATTGAAGAGAATTAATTACGGCCATTGTTTCTACTGCAATGCCTCGGGCAACAGTTGATTATCAAAGAATAAAAACCTTTACCATCGAAGAATAAAAACCCTATTAGAACCCTTTCGATCAACTCATGGATTAAAATACGACATTTAGAATACGTCTTGCGATAGAATTGTTTCTATATTTGAAGTTTAATGTAACCATAAACTGCTTATAGACGCATTAACGAATTCATTGGCAGAAAAGGAACTCCGAAGTCCGAAAACAATGATTAAACGGAAAATTCATCTAAACTTTTTTCTTCTATTATAAATAATTTTTTTTTCTTACAATTAGAAATTGTCTGTCTGGATAAAATTATTTCTATTTACCTTGGCATCCGATTCTATCCCCCCGGATATTATTGATTTACTAAAACTATCTAGCGATCTAAGGATAAAAAAAAGGATACTTTAACCGGTAATATGAACAGCTATGAAAGACACACTAATTGTTTAACAAAGTAAAGAAATTGCAATTCCAAAAGCACAAGCCCCCCCCCCGACTTATTCACATGTTGGAACTATCCCGAGTCTAAAACCCGAAAAACTACACCGAGCCCATCGCTTATGTCCCGAAGAAGACTACCTAAATGGAAGCTGCAACCTTGTTTCCCATAGAGGGGGGTTATCACTTTAACACGCTTTTTATGGAATCTTGTATGTCTACTGGTGCGCATCTCTTGTTAGATCCAAGTAATTGACAAACAACAAATGTAAAAAATCTCTTTCCATCCAATGGATCTGGTTTCTATTTATGGAAGGGAAATTCCGTGGGGTTGATTTTCTGGGGCAAAATCGAATGCGCTTTTTAGCCGAGGAATTCAATTTTTTTTTCTTTCTTTTTCTGGCGTGTTGCGGCTTGACAAACGCTTTCCCACTGATAAGCCAAAGAAAAAAAAAGAAATTAACCAATTCAATCTCATTCAAATAGGAACTGGATTTTTCCCACTTTCGTTCTTTTTAAATTGTTACTGCAGTTTCAAAGTATAAAAGCTAATCAGAAGAAATATGAGTGTATCTGGAATAGCGCCGTATCCTACCCCAAAGCAAAGATCTATCCTCGGATCAATAGTACCATCTGGATCTAAACATCATGGAAGAAATGCCATCCCATTAACTTTAATATTGAATTTACAAACATTATTAAAGAAATCGGTATTTAGTAGAAAGTTTTATCAAGAAATAAATGATAAGATTCTTAATAAAACAGCTACAGTTGATGCTAATTTATATTTCTTATGTTATTTCACTTTATTGGTATCAGCAATATTGAATAATAAATCAAAAATCCTTTATTGGTTAAAATTACAGAAATTTAAATTATTTCAAGTATTTAATAAAGTAAATCAATCAATTGGTGGTAATGATTTGTCTCAATCGGAAAATAAATCAATTAATAAACATTTTGAAAAACCAATTTATCAAGAAGGTTCAAAATCAAATTTAGCCATCCATTTGAAATCAATTAGTTCCTATTTAGCTGACATAAGAATATTCGCTAGATTGACCGATTCAATCAAATATATGCCATGGATCATTGATGAGTATAAGGCTTATACCAACCCTCTGGCTAGTTCTCCACCAAGAGCAGATCGTCTTATAAATTTAATCCAATCATTAAACTGTCTTGTTCTTGAATTATTAGAAAATGCCGGGTGGTTAACTGATCATAATTGGGTTGGCACTTCAGATAATGCCTGGTGGTCATTTGAAACATATATCTGGTGTTCATGGGTTTGGGGCGCATATCTTGTAATTGATATCGTAGAAATGATTAGAAGAACCCCAATTAAACAATGGGATAGAAATTGGAAAGTTGCTTTATTTAGTTCAGTAGTTCAAATGCCTTTGGTTTTACATTGGAGTTTGAGAAATGGATGTTTGACTCCATTCTGGGTAGGATTATGTGGTAGTGGTGCATCTTTCTTTAAATTCAAAGATTTGTGGTCAACTCTTGAGTTGTAAAACTTAGAACTTTGCAGACCACTTTAGTATTTATTTATTTCTAATTAATAGATTTCTATTAGAAACATTCTTGTTTGGTATGGTATTTATATATATTTATTAAAGAGAGAAACGGGGGTTCGCTTTTGAACGTTCTAATTATGCATATTATCTTGTAACTGATTGTAATTGTATGGAAGTCTACATTCAATTCTGGCTTGCGTCTAGTTCTCTCAAACCGGTAGGACCCATTTTCGAATGCGCTCTATATTTAACTTCAGTTGAGCGCAATTGAAGATTTTCGTACGGCATCCAATTGCAAATGGCAACTCGCAGCAGGGGGAACACGTACAAGAGATGTTTCCTTATCTGGAAAGAATGATCCAGATAACTCAACCCATTGAAGGTAAACAACTCAACCCATTGAAGGTAAACCTCCTGGTCAGCTTGAAATTCAATGAATAACATTCTTATTTTGATACTATACAATATTACAAAAAATACAAAACTATTAATAGGTAGAGTGTGCGTCTGGTTAGTCTCTAAATCTCTTATCCTCTCTTTCTGCTTTTCTTTCCATTTCATCCCAATCTTCACCTTCACTTTCTTCTTCAAAAGAGCCTTCACTGTCACTTCCAGATGCACTATAATCATCTTCATCTTCATCTTCGGCACTTTCTTCTTCATCTTCATCTTCAGGATCTTCATCACTGACTTCGAATTCTGATTCTTCTTCACTTTCTTCCTCTTCACCTGATTCACCTTCACCAGTCAAGAATGACCAACCACCATCAGCGAAAAATTGATAGGGATCAGCTTGAACGGTTTTCATAATTGTTAACCAATTCAAATTCATTTGTCCTTCACTTAAAGGAATATCAACATTTGTAAGCCAAGATTTCACATCTTCTAATAATTCCATTGGAATAGTATTAATATGAACAACTGGTTTACTAAAATCCTTAAAAACAAAAACTAAATCAAAATTCTTTAATCCAAATTGAACTCTTTCCAAATGAGCAATTTCAATTTCTTCTAAATTAACGACTAAATATGGAGGATCGATTAATTGAATTAAACAATCACGAGTAGGCATACATAAAACCGATGAACGGAATGGAACCCCTTGGAACCCTAATTCTCTAAATGGAATATCTAAATCAATTAATCCATTACTTGATTCAGCAATCAATTCAGCAAATGATTTAAATTCTTTATCCAATAATGCTTTTCTTCTTCTTTCTTCTTGTTCCTGTTGTAATTCATCTTCATCACCATATCTATATCTTCTCTTTCTACCTCCAGTTTCATCAAATGCCATATCACTGGCTTCACGATAGAATTGAACATCAAAGGTTTTCTTTTTCCCAATCATAATTGGATTTTTCAAATGACAATGAATAATAACAATTAATTCATCTTTACAAGGTTGGAAAAATAAATTCTTAATATTTGAAAATAAAATATCAACTTTTTGATCTGATTTGAAACCTGATTGATATCTGATACCATTTTCATGAATTTGTAAAACTCCTCCTAATTTTTTAGTATCTGGAGTTGGTCTAATATAAACTTGATCCAATTTCTTCATTCTTGAACCTTTTAATTCAATTAAATTTGCTTGAGTGACAACATCTGCCATTTGTTTCTTTTCCAGTTCTCGCTTGACACTATCCTTTTTCATATCTTGAATTGCCTTATAAACATCAATCATTCTTTGACGATCTCTTGACCTAAGAGTAATTGATCTTAAAAAGGTATTATCAGGAGAATCTTCATATGGTAATTCTGTTCTTTTGGCAAAATTACCTCCAGCACCAGCAGAATTGAAATTCAATCTAAGATAAGTAAAATCACCTTCTTCGTTTTGTGATCCACTCTTGTATGAATTAATATGGAATGGAACTGGTCTACCTAAAATTGGTAAGATAATAGTTTGATTCTTAATATCAACGTGGATTTTTAAATCTTGAACATTATTTGAGATTTGAGATTCACGAACATAAGATTCATATTTCTTAAATACTGGTTTAATATCTGAAGAATCAGTAGCATCAGCTTTTGAAAATCTAGCTAAACCTTCTTTTAATCTTTTTTCATGTAATTTAGATTGAATTTCTTGTCTAATTTTTTCAGCATTTGAATCATCAGCATTACTATTTTCATGTCTTAATTTTGATTTTAAAATTTTGGAATTAATTGGTTCTTTTTTATCTTCTAAATTTTTAGCTTCAGCTTTAATCTTTTTAGTATCATTATCTTCATCACCTTTGAAATAAAATGAAATTTCCGATTTTTGTTTTGGATAAGTTGTTAATAAAACTGGTTCTGATTCAGAAACTTTAAAAGTATCAGTTAATAATAATGAATAATTTTTTAATTTAGGAGATTTTGCTTTTGAATTGGTTAAATTATTAAAACCAATAGTTAAAGATATAATTTGACCATTAGTTAATTTTCTTTCATTTCTAGCATTTAAAATAAATGTTGAATCTCTAAATTCAATACCTAATAACCAACCAGCGTTTTTGGTAAAATGAGAAACCAAATGAGGTTTTTCTTGTTTAATAAAATCAATCGCACCTTGATACAATTTATTAGCTTCAACCCCATCTTTTAATAAAGTTTTAGCTATTACTAGAACATTAAAGTTATTCTTTAGTATTAAAAGAAGGTAAAGTAACCAACCTTCAATTAAGAAAGTTCTGGCAATGTTAGCACAATAAGATTTATATCTTAATCCGATTCCAGCTAAAATAACACCATCCCCAATTAATTGAGAATCGGTGGAAATTGCACTTGGTTTTAAATCATAATCTCCACCACTTTGAATGATTGGAGAATAACACCATTCAACATATTCTGGATCGAAATCTTTAATTGGTTGTAATAATTTCTTACCTAGTTTATTCTTAATATACCATTTATTATTTTCAATTTTATCTTCAATTAAATCAGTTAAATTTGAATTGGTGATTTTCTTTTCTTCATCAACAACAATCATCATTTCATCAGTGAAAATATCCATCATAGTAACCGATGCATTACTGGCAATTTTAGTATTGTTGAATTCTTCAGAATCTTTAACTTCTAATGATTTAGAAATCACAAGGCTTAAATCAACAGCTTTCAAGTCTTTACCTTGTATAGCTTGATTCCATTCATCAACAAATTTCCCAGTATATTTATCCTTTAAAACCGTGGCATATTCTCCGTTAGCACCTTCTTGTTGTTCTAATTTATTAAGTAAATCAACAAACAATTGTTTATTTTTATCAGCGTCTTTTGTTCTAATCCATAATTCTATTTTATCTTCATTTCCAGTAATTAATCCCCGTAAATATTTAGCTTTTCCTTCAGAAGTGATGAAAATACATTTATTAGACGTGATATAAATGGCAGTATGAACAAATTCATAACCTAATAACCAATTCTGTAACACAGTTGATTTCTTATACGTGTTTTCATCATCTCTTGCACCAACTATAACCAAAGCTTGCGGGATTTTCTCAGCAATCAAGTTCTTTTGCAAGATTGATAATCTTTTATGAAATACACCTGAATCTATCTTAACGTCAGCCATTTCTTCGAAATTTCAAATTAACTCAATAAAGGGGAAGTGGACGAGGAGATGGTACCTACTCTATGATTGTTCAAAAGGAGTTGTTAAATTGATTGATTGATTGATTGATTGATTGAGATTTAAATGGAATTTTGGAAAACTTGACAACCAAAAAAAAAAAATTGAGAGAATGGGTTGAGATGATTGAATTTTTTCGTTTCAATTTTGGGTTGAGCTTTGTTGTAGTTTTGTATGTATTTTCAATACGAACTAAGAGATTAGGACAAGAATCACAAGCAAAGCGATGTCAAGATTTTCCAAATAGTTCTACGTTGTTCATTTACAAGAATGAGAAAGTGTTAGAACGTAACATATACGCAAGTAGTCTAGGGGGGGAATCACACTCTCAATTTTGCTTTCTTAAAGTGTTTGTAAAATGTCTACAAATGTCGTTCTCCAAATGTCTTTCTCCCATACGCGTCTTTTTTCTTCTCAATTTTTTTTTTGGGGGGCACTTCTAGCGCGTCAGCCAAGTATCGATCTGTTGTGAAAATATTCAATAATACTGGAAACTTTCTCTTTGCTTTTGAAAAGACAATTTTTCATTGTGTTAAGTGACTATCAAGTTCAAAAGTCCAGAGAACAATGTTTAGACAAGTCAAGAGAAGAACAGCAGGAAGAAGGAACTTCGAACAAATATCTTCCAATTCCTCTAGTTCTTCAAACAAGTTATTGAATGGAGATGATGATGGATCAAGTCTTTATAAATCAAGATTATCATTTTATGATATTCCACCAACTTCAGAAATCACCCTTGAAGAATTTGAAATGTGGGCTATTGATAGATTAAAAATCTTAATTGAAATTGAATCATGTCAAGCTAGATCTAAATCTTTAAAAGAAATTGAAGTTGCTATTAAACCGTTATTATTAAAATACATGCCACTAAGTCCAACAGGAACCATTTCACAACAACAAGAAAGAATTAAAGATCATTATAGTCATTATATTCTTAGATTGGTATTTTGTCGTAGTGAGGAATTACGTAAGAAATTCATTAAGAATGAAACAATTTTATTTAAAATTAGATATAATTTATTACAACCTAAAGAACAACAAGAATTTATTGAATTAAATAATCATAAATTGGCTTGGAATTATATTACACCCCAAGAGAAACAACAATTATCCGACAAATTATATGCCAGTTGTTCTATGATGATTAAGAATAATTTATTATTAGATGGTGAGAATTTAACTAATGAACAATTAAAACAACATATCTTATATAAAGAAAACTTTATTAAATTACCATTTGAGAAATGTATTTCATTAATTAGTTCAAGATCAATCTTTTTGAAAGGTGGTTATGGTTATTTACCAACTAGTTTACAATTGAATTTATTGGCAACTGAATTTCAAGAAAAATTGAATGATATTTTAATTAAAACTTTTCAAACTATTCCAAGATTAGAAGAAGATGATAGATTATTACCATTATTAAATAACTTATCTAATAATTTTGCTAATATCCAATATGATAATTATGAACAAGATAATTCATTGGCTTCAGATATCAATTATCAATCAATCACTACTAAAGCAATCACACAGCATTATCCATTATGTGCTACTCACTTACAACAGGGTTTGATCAATGATAGTCACTTGAAATATAATGGTAGACAACAGTTAGGGTTATTCCTTAAAGGCATTGGATTAAATGTTGATGAAGCAATTAAATTTTGGTCTTTCCAATTTACCAAGAATAATAACATTTCAATGGAGAAATTTAATAAAGAATATAAATATAATATTCGTCATCAATATGGGTTAGAAGGGGCCAGGATTAATTATAAACCATGGGATTGTAATACAATTTTATCAAAACCTAAACCGGGGAAAGGTGAATATCATGGATGTCCATATCGTGATTTATCATTGGATTCATTAGTGAATACTTTACAAAATATGGGAATCAATGATCAACATGATTTAAATGTTGTTATTGATGATGTTAATAAACGTGATTATACAATTGCTTGTACTAGAGTATTTGAATATACTCATAGGAATAATACGACAAAAGCAAATAATGAAAACTTACATATTAGTCATCCTAATTTATATTTTGATAGATCAAGACAATTGGAAAGAGCTGAGAATAAGGGTAGTACCATTAGCTCTGATAGCCAGAAAGAATCCGAGTCTCAAGGTGTATAGCTTTGTACAGTATTTGATTAATATAAGAATTTTGCAACAACACTTCAATTTTGAGTAGCCTTTCAATGGCAAGCTTCGAACAAATCTATAAAATTAAAAGCTACTTTGTGAACTATAAGCAACAACTGGCTGTCTTCTTTAATTAGATCTCAAATATAAGTAAAATAGAAATGTTGTTTTCAAGTGAATACGGATTTATTACTAGTAGGTTAAACAGCCATCATTATTACTTTTGGCTGCAAAAAAAAAATATTTTTTGACGTAATAAAATTAATGAATGTAATGGTAAAGTGCTTTCAATAGAGAACAACCACTTCTGCCTCTCTTTGACCCTTTGTGCATTGCAAATGAGATTGCCGATCCAACCAATTAATAGAAAGAATAGATGAAACATTGAATTAATTACAGGCTCTTGTGTCATTGTTGATTTTCTGTGTGGCAAAAATAGGCTGGAGATCTGATCTGATACGAGATTGTCAATTGTAAAGTAAACCGGTAAGGATTGGTAGAGGTTGAAGTTTTGTACTCTTGTATCAACTTGAAATGTGATCTTGGTACTATTGCATGTACATTTTTGTACCAGCCATAAAGTTTCAGGTTGTGTATGGATAAAGAAGTTAAATTCTCGTATGAAACAGATTTGATTCAACAACATACAATTATGAAACAGACTGTTTATGTTTCGAAAATTACCGCATTAGAAAAAGTAGATTAAAGAACACGTTTCGTTGACTTTCATATTAGAGTTCTACATTTTGAAGCTTCTCATATTATCAAAGGTAATTTACAGTGTTACCACTACCCATAGCAACAATCATAAAGCAATTAAATTAAATAAGGTTATAAAATTCCACTTAACTTAAATACGAATTGCTTCAACGCGAAAAAAAAAAAAGAATATTTTTAGAACGAGACCGACTGACGAACAAACGAAAAAACACAGCCAAAAAAGAAAAACAAGAAATTTTTAATTTTTACTTTTTTAATTTAATTTTCAGTATAATTTAATGATCTTTAATTTATAAATATTTATAGAAAGCAACTTACTCCTCCCTCGAGCTTTTTAATAGAATCAAAATCTACATTGTCTTTCATTTGAAAAAGAAAAATCCCCAAGTATAATAGAAACCCTAAAAGAAAAACTGCGAAATGAATACACTTCCTCAACAACCTCAACAGAATCAACAAATTGAGCCGCGCCAAGTGTCATTTAATGTTTCGGATCATTATCAGATATTGGAAATAGTAGGAGAAGGAGCTTATGGTATAGTATGTTCAGCGATTCATAAACCTTCAGGACAGAAAGTTGCCATCAAAAAAATAGAACCGTTCGAAAGAAGTATGTTATGTCTTCGAACATTAAGAGAATTAAAATTATTAAAACATTTTAATCATGAAAATATAATTAGTATATTAGCAATTCAAAGACCATTAAATTATGAAAGTTTTAATGAAATATATTTAATTCAAGAATTAATGGAAACTGATTTACATCGAGTTATTAGAACTCAAAAATTATCTGATGATCATATTCAATATTTCATATATCAAACTTTAAGAGCTTTAAAAGCAATGCATTCAGCAAATGTATTACATCGAGATTTAAAACCATCAAATTTATTATTAAATTCAAATTGTGATTTAAAAATTTGTGATTTTGGTTTAGCGAGATCAATAGCTTCTTCAGAAGATAATTTCGGATTTATGACGGAATATGTTGCAACTAGATGGTATAGAGCTCCTGAAATCATGTTAACATTCCAAGAATATACTACTGCAATTGATGTTTGGTCAGTGGGGTGTATATTAGCAGAAATGTTAACCGGGAAACCTTTATTCCCTGGTAGAGATTATCATAATCAATTATGGTTAATTATGGAAGTATTAGGTACACCTAATATGGAGGATTATTATAATATAAAATCAAAAAGAGCTCGAGAATATATTAGATCATTACCATTTTGTAAAAAAATCCCATTCCAAACTTTGTTTAATAATAATCCAAATATAAATCCTTTAGCACTTGATTTATTGGAAAATTTATTAATATTTAATCCAACTAAAAGAATAACAGTTGATGACGCTTTAAAACACCCTTATTTACAATTATATCATGATCCTGATGATGAACCGATAAGTGAAAAAATCCCAGAAGATTTCTTTGATTTTGATAAAAGAAAAGATGAATTGACGATTGAAGATTTAAAGAAAATGTTATATGAAGAAATAATGAAACCGTTGTAAAACTAAGCTCGCCTATGAGGTGTAGATTGCCTCCCACAAATCAACTATCTTAAATGACTGACAACACATCTGGGTTATGTTTACTGTATTTTCGTATGGGACACAACCGATCACCAAGTAGAATACATAGTTATTGGCGAGGGGAGTTTCTCAAAGCATGAAGAGCGTTATGAATATGTTTATATAATTGTATAGAATATTGACAATCAATTTATTTATTAATTCCAAACTCGGTCGAAGAGTCACTCTTATCGTGGGTCAATTTGTAATGGTTGCAAATCTCATACATGGTTGCAAAACTTAAAAAATTGGGTCTATTTAGATTCCACTCTAGGTTTGACCATATAGATTGATGTATCCTCACATCAAGGAATGTTACGACATAACCGACAACGGTTGGATACTTGGCCAGTTGATGTTTTAAAACTATGATTTTTGTCAAAAATTTAGACCTATTTTGAAATTAAATCCTTCGAGCACGGAACTCCAAGAAATGTCTCCCATTCACTACGTTTCCGGGTCCAGTAGAACAATAGGTATAGTGGAGACGATAAACCTGAAGTCGCTTAACCCAATATATACGTAAACTACCTATACATCTATCCTTTGTGCCAATTATTCCTGCTAAATCACATGCTCAATTTTTGTTGCAAAACCACCCTCGGAAACCTCGGGTTTAGGTTCGTATTTAAAAACTTTTCTATGACAAAATCACGTGAAATTCAAAAACGGATGGCTGTGAATTTTACTTTAGCACTTTTAGTCCTCCCAACCGGCTCACCAGATTCCGCCATCTGAATTCTACTACTGGACGGTGTCCGCGCGAGTTCGAACCTCGCACCCTTCACTATTTTTTTATTTCTAAAGGGTGTCCTTAAACCTTTTTTTGTCAATTAGAAGTTTAGCTGAATGCTAATAGTAAAGGTTGGTCGAGTATCGTGTTTGTGTACTGTTGTTCATGTGTTGTATCGGAAGGTTTCTTTCCCGCTTTGCTCCACAGGTACGCCAAAATTTTAGTGCGAATAAAAACAGACGCGTACTGATTTTTATTTTTCGGTTTTTGAGATTCGTTTTTTTTTACAACCATCAACCTTTTCTTCTCCATCTAGATCAACCCCCCCAAATACTTTAACCAATCAGTTTTCAAACTACGCAATGTCCAGTACAAGGCCTGATCTTAAGTTTACGGATAATCTGGATGAACGTCTGTATTTCAGAAAGTATAACCAACTTCCTCCAAAAGATGTGAATACCATTAGAGTTATTGATCACAACAATAAGGATTATTTCACAGTATTAGATTCTGACGCTGATTTAATTGCTGACAATATCTATAGAACTCAATCAGTTATTAAATTCAACAATAAAAACAAATATGTCACAATATCCTATCAAGTTTTCATCAATGATGTTTTAAAATTTTGTTTGATTGATAAACATTTAAAAGTGGAAATTTATAACAATAAAACTTTTCAATTAATCACAACTGCAACTGCTGGTAATTTGGATAATATTTCTCAGGAATATGGTGTCAATCTTGAATTTCAGGATTATTCAAGTTCTATTATTGCTGGGGTGAAATTTCAACAAACAGGTATCAATAAGAAAGTTGGTGTATGTTTGATTGATATCCTGAACTCATCTATTCAAGTTTCCGAATTTGATGATAATGAATTATATTCGAATTTGGAAAGTTTATTGTTACAATTAGGGGTTAAAGAAGTTGTCTTACCGTCTAACTATAACCCACAAGAAGAGAATGCTGATATGATTAAATTGTTTCAAGTCTTAGATAGAATTGGAAATATCGTTACTAGTTCCGTCAAATCATCGCTTTTTAATCATAAAGATATTGAACAAGATTTATCTAAATTAATCACCAACGAAGTGGATGATAATGTTGGTGAACAACAGGGTGAAGTAAATGTTGCTTTAGTATTAGCATCTAAGGGGATCAGCACTACAGAGTTTCCAATCTCTTTAGCTTGCTGTAATGCATTAGTTGCTTATTTGGATTTGCTTGGAGAAGATGCTAATAAAACCTTCTCAATTGAACAATATAATTTGACTTCATACATGAAATTGGATTCTTCCACCATGAGAGCATTAAACATCTTCCCACAGACACCTAGTGGACCAATGGGATTCAATAAACTGAAAAATGTAAGTTCAATCTTTGAATTATTAAATGATTGTAAAACTGCCGCCGGGTCAAGATTATTGTCTCAATGGCTAAAACAACCATTAACTAATCTAACAATGATTGAAGAACGTCAAGCATTGGTCAATCTTTTGATGGATAATACTACCCTAAGGGTATTCACATCTAACGAATTCTTGTCTCGGATTCCTGATATAAAGAGATTAGTGAAGAAAGTGGCCACAAACATTAACAAAACTACAGGAAACGAGAACAAAAAATTGGAAGATGTTGTCTCATTATATCAGATTGTATTAGCTTTACCTGATGTCATTGATGTTTTATCAAATACAATTGAGGGAATGAAAGGCGAGGAGAATCAAGCCCAGATTATTACTCAGATTGAAAAGTATTGGTTAGCTCCAATTCAAAAGAGTTATGAATCGTTACGAAAATTTCAAGAGTTAGTGGAGACTACAGTAGATCTTTCTCCATTGGAATCCTCTTCTGCTCATGATATCTTGCACAACGATTATAACATAAGACCTGAATTTGACGAATCATTAGTTGAAATCAATGAAAGGATACAAAATAGTTTATCAGAAATTAAACAATTGCATATTGATGTTGCTGACGATTTGAATATGGAATTAGACAAGAAGTTGAAGTTGGAAAAGCATATTCAACATGGTTGGTGTTTCCGAGTAACTAGAAATGACTCAGTTGTCTTGAGAAATAAAGGAAAGAAATATAATGAACTTCAAACCGTGAAAGCCGGTGTTTATTTTACTTGTAGAGAATTATCACAAGTATCTCAAACTTATTTAGATGCATTTGGTGAATACAACAAGAAACAAAGGGAACTTATCAAAGAAGTATTGGCAATCACATTGACTTATCAACTGGTATTTCAAAGTAACTCAAATACAGAACGAGTAAACCTACAGAACCGAAGAAAACGGTTACATGCCATTCTTGCTCCCACATCGTTTGTGAAACCAAAATTATATCCATTGAGTGATTCAATAGACAGTGTGGAATTCAAGCAAAGAAAGCTTAAATTGGAAGACGCCAGACACCCAGTTTTGGAAGTTCAAGATGATATCAACTTCATTGCCAACGATATTTACTTATCGAATGATCGCGAAGAAAAAGGAAAACCGTTCGTGATAATTACTGGTCCAAATATGGGTGGTAAGTCTACCTATATTAGACAAATTGGGGTTATTGCATTAATGAGCCAAATTGGTTCATTCATCCCAGCAAGTGAAGACAATTTTATTCCAGAAATTCCCATTTTTGATGCCATTTTGTCAAGAGTAGGAGCTGGAGACTCTCAATTGAAAGGATTATCGACATTTATGATTGAAATGTTAGAAACTGCATCTATTTTGGCAACTGCCACTCATAATTCCTTGATTATAATCGATGAATTGGGGAGAGGTACCTCAACTTATGATGGGTTTGGGTTAGCATGGTCTATTCTGGAGCATTTGATTACTAGTAAGCAATGCTTTGCATTGTTTGCTACTCATTTCCATGAATTGAATCAATTATCGCAAAAATATCCCGATAAAGTTGAAAACTTACACGTTGTAGCCCATTTGGAAAAAGGATCAAATGACAAGGAAGAAGATGACATTACTTTGATGTATAAAGTTGAACCAGGCATTTCCGATAAATCATTTGGTATCCATGTTGCTGAATTGGTTAAGTTCCCTACGAAGATTATTAACATGGCAAAGAGAAAAGCATCTGAATTACAAGAAGAAAAGCAAGATGATCCCGATGTATATATTCAATCGAAACGAACGAAATGTTCGCCAGAAGAAATTGGAGTTGGAATTGAGAAATTGAAGGCAATACTAAAGAAATGGAAATCCGAATGTTATGACGGTTCGAAATGCAAATATGACAGCCAAACATCAGTTTCTAGATTGCGGGAAATTCTTGTACAAGAGCTGGAATCAGTTCAATCTGATAAATTGATCGCAGAAATTACCAGTTTGCTTTAAAGAGAAAGTTTATATATTGTAATATTTATAAGTAATAAAGTTTTAAAGGTCCTTTTTCATTTTTTCCAAGTATTTTGAATCTTCTTCAGCTAACTTCTTCACAGCCCTATGTCTTTGTAAACCGGGCTTATCTATACAATAAACGACCGGAAGAAACCCATATGCCCACTGAAATTGAAAGAACTTTTCGGTACCAGTTAAGAAGCATCGTAAATATTCTTCATAAACCAAAGAACAATACACACCAGATCCAGTCAATATATGCCACCATCCATGTCCTTCCAAAACAAATCCATAAGGCATTCCCCAGTTTCTTCTTGCGATTCTAACTTCGGTACAAAAATGAATATCTAAATTCCAAAGCAAATACCCTAATAAAAAGAGTCCAATTCCGAGAATCAGGGTTGTATGTAATTGTTTGGCGGCAACCTCATCATGGACATATTTCTTTCTCAATCTGATCGATCTGATAACTATAAGTACATTCAAGGTTCCATAACTTACTTGATGAATGGTTGGATCACGAAAATAAAGATAGATCACAGTTAAAAGGTTAGCACCCATGAAAGTTCCCCATGCTATCCTCATTGATTGTTCTTTAGTTTTAAATTCACTGAAAACTGACCAAAAGGGAATGCAAGTTGCATAAATCATCGGTAATTCATCCAAAAGTTGGAAATGATATTTCAAAGTCATATGGAATAACCAGGATCCAATACCAACTAATAAGAATCCCAATGCTGAAAATATAAATCTAGGTTCAAGTTTATTCTTGTAAGCATGATAAGTTGCAAACAGAGCTAATAGAATAAATACTGAATTAGTCACTGTGTTCAATGCTTCTGCAACATATTTAGATACCACATAATTCTCTTCACACCAATCTATTGTAGATGTGGGAATACCCCAAAATCCATCGTCCTGTTCTGGAGGATAAGGAATAGCAAATGGAAACATGTCTTCTGTTGTTCTAAAACGAATCTGATTGGTTCTAAATCGGTTCCAGTTTGTTCTTTGCCAAGAAGAGGCAAAAAGACAAGAGAAGGGCTTTCAAAGCTAAAACGAACTAAAAGAGTTAAAATGCAACGACGCACGAGGGGGAGGGGAAAAATTTGCTATCGGTCGGTCGGCTTGCATATGACATCAGAAAACTAAATTTAATTATACGCACAAATTTTGTCTCGGATTTTAAACTTTTTAATTTTTAAGATCTAATTACATGCCGACCGATCATTCCCAATTGGGAAATTGCACCCGAATACAATAAACTACAGAGAACTATTAGAAATATCAAGATACCATTCTAACCAACACTCTCCATTTACAGGTCTCAGAACATACGAATCATACATTGTCATCTTTTCTTCGTCAGTTGTATTTGTTCCGACATTTCTCGACCCTAAATTAATTGGTGCAGGGGTCAGTCCAGGGTCCTTGGAAGTAACCACCTCACACCAGTTAGGATCAATCCGAGAATAAAAATGCCAATAAAGATTTACAATAGCCATTTTCATCTCCATAAGTGCCAAGTTCCTTCCAAGACACATTCTGATACCTTTACCAAATGGCATCATATATTTTTGTTGTAGTTTTATCCTTTCTTTATACTCTTGTTGGAATTCATGATCATAAGGCAACCAACGTTCCGGTATGAATTGATCTGGCTCGGGGAATATGGTAGGTACACGATGCATTGCATATGGTAGACACGATATGACTGTCCCTACGGGTACAACGACTTTCTTTCCATTTTCCATTTCCAATAAATATGGTCTAGGTACAACACGGGGTTCAGCACCAGGAAGGGATGAATGTACTCTTGAATTCTCTTCGATAAGTGCATTTAGATATGGTAATTTATCAACTATTTCCAAATCATCAATAATCGAACTCAAAGATGCTGGTTTACCAAATGTTTCAAAGAGTTCATGTTTTAGCCTTGTTTGTTTGCGGCTGTTACCAGGGCGGGATAATTCGTAACATAGATATGCAAGTTGGATTGAAGTATTTGCATGGCCAGCGAAGATATGATCACTGGAGAAAGAATAAGCATGATCGCCTTTTAGACCACTTTTCTTCAAAGCTTCCAAAGTGGTTGGATTCTTACCATTATC